GTGCATGCTGCACATTTCGTAATGCCAACAGGGAAAGTGTTGGTGTGGTTTTGTAATGCCACTCTGATGCACTTTAACACATTACAGATGTACACAACTTGTATGTACTTTAACTGCACAATACTACTTATAACTAACTGTGTTTAACATCCTGAACTCTTAGTTACTTATGTTACCTCATCCTTCATATAAAAAATAGATGTTGTAACACAGTGTATGTACTTGGCAACAGCTGAATCTTGAGGGGGAGGTAATATAAGTAAGTAGCATGAGTTTTGTGCACAGTTTGTTATTCTATGTTTAATATTTTATGTTGTTACTTTCACAAAGACTTCCTTGTACAGCTGTTATCGGCTAATCCAGATTCAGTTTCTGATGTGCAAACCCTCAGAAAACTCCCTCACATCAGCTTTCAGTAACACACTGCAATAAACAAACTCTTTATATTAAAACTGTCACACAGCTGCTTGGACTTCAGAATGTTGGAATCCATTCTAATTGAGCTTCCACTTTGGTCTGTATCCGTATAATATAGTGTTAATTCAGTCTATTTTTTTTAATATTTCATGAATTTCTTATGAAAATATTTGAATTGACAGAAAGCGAATCGGATCATTGTGAGGTCAGAGATATTCACCCTCTGTTTTAGGCCGTTACTCTTTTCCACTCACGCTTCTCCTCTCGCTCCTCAGCACTTCTTCACGTCTTTCGGAGCGAGGGATCGCAGCTACATGATGATCTTCAGACTGTGGCAGAACGCTCTGATGGACAAGGTGAGCCTCCCTTACTGTTACTGACTGTATGACAGATTTTATTGTCAGTGCTGTTTATTGTTTGGCTCCAGTTTTGCTTTGTACGCAAGAAAAGAGCCCAAATTTAACACCAGATACAACAGGTAGGCTTGGTTTAATGCGCTGAACTTTTACCTGTTGTTGTGTCACTAACATGCACCGATACTGATGCTGAATCAGTGCCAATACTGGCACTTAAATTCAGTATTGAATGGGTAATCAAGAATATTGATTCCATGAAGCAGTTTCTGATGTGTGCATGTGCACCAGTAGATGGAGCTTAGCTGAAACAGCTGTGTGCTGGTGCTGTGGGATTATTTCATGTTTGAGATGAACAGCAGTAAAAATGCACCATGTAAAATCTGTAACGACAGTATTTGGAGGGAAGGCAGGATTAGTGATTCAGCATGCATGGAATTCTTCCCACAGTATTAACCACAGATAAGCCAGTTAATGTACATACAGTGCCAAACATGCTAAAGTTAGCTCCTTTAGCTTAAGTGAACATTAGAGAGATAAACGGAAGGAACAGCTTGTCTCTTGGGGTTGTAATAGCCTTTAGTAAAGGGTTAGCATGTGTACCTATCACTGCTGTTGTAACAAAACCTCATATCTACAAAATGATCATTTTGCAGTAGTGAGAAGAAACATGAATAACTTTGAATGGAATTTAATGGAGCTAGATTTTTTTCAAGTAATATTGGAGGTTTTCATCCATTCATCATGAGATTTTCTGTTGTATAGGGCAGCTGGCATTTTCAAATTTTGTAAAACGAAGAAAAAAAAACTAATAGCATAAAAGGACAAAAATATGATTATTTGATATATATATAAATATATATATATATATATATATACATCGATCAGGCATAACATTCTGACCACCTCCTTGTTTCTACGCTCGTTGTCCATTTTATCAGCTCCACTTACTATATAGGTGCACTTTGTAGTTCTACAGTTACAGACTGTAGTCCATCTGTTTCTCTGATACTTTGTTAGCCCCCTTTTACCCTGTTCTTCAGTGGTCAGGACCCCCATGGACCCTCACAGAGCAGGTACTATTTGGGTGGTGGGTCATTCTCAGCACTGCAGTAACACTGACGTGGTGGTGGTGTGTTAGTGTGTGTTGTGCTGGTGCGAGTGGATCAGACACAGCAGTAAGAACAGGGTAAAAGGGGGCTAACAAAGTATCAGAGAAACAGATGGACTACAGTCTGTAACTGTAGAACTACAAAGTGCACCTATATAGTAAGTGGAGCTGATAAAATGGACAATGAGGTGGTCATGTTATGTCTGATCGGTGTGTGTGTGTGTGTGTATATATATATGTATATATATATATATATATATTTATTTATTTTTATTTTTTCATATGTCAATGTGTTTTTGTTTGTTTGTTTTTTTTTAAGTGTTTCCAAAGCTCTCTTTGAGGAACCCCACTATTATTCATAGTTATTATCCCACACCTGGTTTGGCAAATCAGTGTTGCTTTACATTAAAGTCAAGGCTGAATGAATCTGGTAACATCTGGAGCCGTTCTGATAACTAAAACAAACTTGCTTAGGGACCTAAGACTTATGCACAGTACTGTATGTACATATACTTGTTTATGAATCTTGTTTATATAAAAACGAAGTTTTAACACAGTGTATGTATTTGGCGTCTGCTGATACTTTAGGGTGAGGTATCAGTATCGGTGCATCTCTTTAATAATTAGCCGTTAACTAAGCAAGAGTTTATTAGAGTAGAGACACTTTTAAGGCTTCCTTTCCCATTTTTACTCGATTGAAACAGCACAAATCTGTTGTTTTTTTTTGTTTGTTTCTAATTTTAATTATCTTTCCAAATCTGATTCGCTTTCATATGCGCTCCAAGATCAGAAACATGTGCTGTGTGTGGTCATGTGGACATAATGAATTATTTATTTTTACATCACACTTGACTGCCATGCTCGTATCACTGTATTCATCATCCAGCGTGGGCAGCAGGTCAGCAGCGGCTTTAGCTGTGTAATTCTGTAATGTCAGAGAGCTAATGTGGTGTTTGTGTCCTTTAGACTCTGTCTCCTAAGGAGCTGTGGCACATCGTGCATCAGTGTTACGGCACCGAGCTGGGTCTGACCAGTGAGGACGATGACTATGTCTCCCCTACAGCGGAGCATATGAACGGCCTGCTGTGAGTACACGCTGACACACAGTCTGTTCAGTGCTTAATGTGGCTCGTTCTGTGCTGATGGGTGTTTTAGTTCAGTGAGCCAGTATAATTTTTCCTCTACTTTATTTTTCTTCCTGAGGTTCACTGATAATGTGGGGTTTTATGTACCAAAAACAGCCATAATTCATTTTTACTTAACTGCTGTAGCTGAATGGGAGGGGCTAAACTGCTGTAGCTGAATGGGAGGGGCTAAACTGCTGTAGCTGAATGGGAGGGGCTAAACTGCTGTAGGCTGAATGGGAGGGTCTAAACTGCTGTAGGCTGAATGGGAGGGGCTAAACTGCTGTAGCTGAATGGGAGGGGCTAAACTGCTGTAGCTGAATGGGTGGGGCTAAACTGCTGTAGCTGAATGGGTGGGGCTAAACTGCTGTAGGCTGAATGGGAGGGGCTAAACTGCTGTAGGCTGAATGGGAGGGGCTAAACTGCTGTAGCTGAATGGGTGGGGCTAAACTGCTGTAGCTGAATGGGAGGGGCTAAACTGCTGTCGCTGAATGGGGGGGCTAAACTGCTGTAGCTGAATGGGTGGGGCTAAACTGCTGTAGCTGAATGAGAGGGGCTAAACTGCTGTAGCTGAATGGGAGGGGCTAAACTGCTGTAGCTGAATGGGAGGGGCTAAACTGCTGTAGCTGAATGGTGGGGCTAAACTGCTGGAGGCTGAATGGGTGGAGTTAAACAGCTGTAGGCTGAATGGGAGGGGCTAAACTGCTGTAGCTGAATGGGTGTGGCTAAACTGCTGTAGGCTGAATGGGTGGGGCTAAACTGCTGTAGCTGAATAGGTGGGGCTAAACTGCTGTAGCTGAATGGTGGGGCTAAACTGCTGTAGCTGAATAGGTTGGGCTAAACTGCTGTAGACTGAATGGGTGGAGTTAAACAGCTGTAGGCTGAATGGGAGGGGCTAAACTGCTGTAGACTGAATGAGAGGGGCTAAACTGCTGTAGCTGAATAGGTGGGGCTAAACTGCTGTAGCTGAATGGTGGGGCTAAACTGCTGTAGCTGAATAGGTTGGGCTAAACTGCTGTAGACTGAATGGGTGGAGTTAAACAGCTGTAGGCTGAATGGGTGTGGCTAAACTGCTGTAGCTGAATGGGTGTGGCTAAACTGCTGTAGGCTGAATGGGTGTGGCTAAACTGCTGTAGCTGAATAGGTGGGGCTAAACTGCTGTAGCTGAATGGGTGGGGCTAAACTGCTGTAGACTGAATGGTGGGGCTAAACTGCTGTAGACTGAATAGGTGGGGCTAAACTGCTGTAGCTGAATGGGTGGGGCTAAACTGCTGTAGACTGAATGGTGGGGCTAAACTGCTGTAGACTGAATAGGTGGGGCTAAACTGCTGTAGCTGAATGGGTGGGGCTAAACTGCTGTAGACTGAATAGGTGGGGCTAAACTGCTGTAGCTGAATGGTGGGGCTAAACTGCTGTAGACTGAATGGTGGGGCTAAACTGCTGTAGCTGAATAGGTTGGGCTAAACTGCTGTAGACTGAATGGTGGGGCTAAACTGCTGTAGCTGAATAGGTTGGGCTAAACTGCTGTAGACTGAATAGGTGGGGCTAAACTGCTGTAGCTGAATGGGTGGGGCTAAACTGCTGTAGACTGAATAGGTGGGGCTAAACTGCTGTAGACTGAATAGGTGGGGCTAAACTGCTGTAGCTGAATGGTGGGGCTAAACTGCTGTAGACTGAATGGTGGGGCTAAACTGCTGTAGACTGAATGGTGGAGCTAAACTGCTGTAGCTGAATGGTGGGGCTAAACTGCTGTAGACTGAATGGTGGGGCTAAACTGCTGTAGGCTGAATGGTGGAGTTAAACAGCTGTAGGCTGAATGGGAGGGGCTAAACTGCTGTAGGCTGAATGGGTGGGGCTAAACTGCTGTAGCTGAATAGGTGGGGCTAAACTGCTGTAGCTGAATGGGTGGGGCTAAACTGCTGTAGGCTGAATGGGTGGGGCTAAACTGCTGTAGGCTGAATGGGTGGGGCTAAACTGCTGTAGCTGAATGGGTGGGGCTAAACTGCTGTAGGCTGAATGGTGGGGCTAAACTGCTGTAGGCTGAATGGGTGGAGTTAAACAGCTGTAGGCTGAATGGGCGGGGCTAAACTGCAACATTTTATTTGTTCCTCTCTCAGGCCGGGTGATGATGCGGTATGTGTTAATGATCTGCTGGATCAGGCTGCTGTAGCTCCTCCTGGTTCTTCTCCTCCGTCCTCCTCGTCCTCCTCCTGCCCTCCTGTGGAGGTTCCGGCCGTCAGAGCGAGTGCAGAGCCTGAGCCGAGTCCGCCCAGCTCCACACACACCTCCAACATACAACCCACACACTCCACGCACAGCATTGCTGCTGCCGCCGCCGCAACCCCGACCTTCACTTCCACCACCACAGTGAGTTACACCTCTCACAGGAGGGAAGCGGTGGAGTTAGAGAGGGAACTAAAGGGAGGATTCTGATTTCATCCAAAAGTGCACTGTTTCACTACAAACTAAAATAGAATAAAAGGAAAACGAAATCTATAATAAACATTGTGTTTGTTTTCAAAATATCAGATTCTATGCATTAGCTATTTAAAACAGCACAGTTCATATCACAATACCTACATTTAGAGTCAGTTATTCATTCAGCCTAATGAGAAACTGTAGAACAGACTCAGTTTATATCACAATACCTACATTTAGAGTCAGTTATTCATTCAGCCTAATGAGAAACTGTAGAACAGACTCAGTTTATATCACAATACCTACATTTAGAGTCAGTTATTCATTCAGCCTAATGAGAAACTGTAGAACAGACTCAGTTTATATCACAATACCTACATTTAGAGTCGGTTATTCATTCAGCCTAATGAGAAACTGTAGAACAGACTCAGTTTATATCACAATACCTACATTTAGAGTCGGTTATTCATTCAGCCTAATGAGAAACTGTAGAACAGACTCAGTTTATATCACAATACCTACATTTAGAGTCAGTTATTCATTCAGCCTAATGAGAAACTGTAGAACAGACTCAGTGTATATCACAATACCTACATTTAGAGTCGGTTATTCATTCAGCCTAATGAGAAACTGTAGAACAGACTCAGTTTCTATCACAATACCTACATATTTTGAAATTGAAAATGTAATCAAGTGTAGTGACAGCAGTAAATGGAACACATAAGCATAATGTCCTTACAACGTCTGTTTACAGAGCAATAAGAGTGTGTTTTCTCTCCTGCTGTAGAGCGTAGAGGAAGGCGGACAGGAGAGCCAGTCAGAACCCGCCAGTCAGGCGGCGGCAATGTCCACTTCACATGGCCTGGGTAACGTGTCATCACTCGACATAACCAACGACGAGGAGCTGCCCACCGACCCTAGCAACTCCTCCGATACGCAGGAAGAGAGTGAGTCTGCATTTCAAAATAGACCAGAATGACTAGAAAACAGATAATTAAAGAAAGATGTGGACACTTTAGATGCCGTCTCTAGAAAACTGTAGTCTGGATTCGTATAACCTGCAAATTACAATGTGGAGATTTTACTAAAACTATTTTAATTCCACCTTAAATGATGCAGCAGTTATATTCAGACATCCCACATATATAGTATGGAAATTTTGAGAAAGAAGCTGGTGAATAAGCCAGCCTCATCACACGCGTCCCAAACCACACACTTCTGTACTTCACATACTGCACTAATGAGTGCACTTCTAACAGCACTGCACTGTTTTTACACACTGTTTAGTGAGCTAGTATGCAGTCTAGGGACGCAGCAGTAGTAACTCATCGGAAAGTCTCAGCCGTTCAGTTTTCACCTTTCTTTTTTTTTATTATAGCAACACATCAGATAAGATCAGTGCAGTACAATCAAATATATTTGTTCATGCTTTAAAAATGAGTTTTAAACTGAATTTTCCACAAAAAACATGTTTTACTTTGCTGGACCAGTTATGGCTTTGTTATCTCATAACAAACCACGACTGCTCTGCCAAATTAAGTTGCCTACCAGCCTAGCCTACCTAAACTGTTAATAGAAAAGAAACTGCACAAAACAGCCTGTTTGAAATGATTATTTCTGTGATGTCACAAATTTGGTTATTTACGTATGTTTTACATTTGCTTGCACCATTTTGAATGAGGCACAATACAGGGCAGCCAATCAGAATAGAGCAGAGCTCATTTACATATATCACTCTTAAAGGGACACTAAGAAAAACAGGCTGTTCACTTGTAAGGGATGAAGATAGGATGGAAAATGTTCATGCAAACTGCCTGTAAAAATGAATTATGGATGTTTTAAGTGGGAAGAATGTAGAATTTGGACCCTTTAATACTTTTTAATTTTTAACCATTTAATTATTGAGGAATTTTGAAAAACCTGTGAACGTCTCTTTTTCAGTAAGAGTAACTCTTTCACCCTGTCTTGTTCACAGGTGAGGTGGAGTCTTTCTGTTCGGATCTGAGGGGCCGTCTGCACATTAACACGGTTCTGCGAATCGGAGTGGATAAACTGCACGATCTGCTGTTCTCTGACACGCACTTCCTCCAGCACCTCTTCACCCAGCGCCACTTCACCGGTCAGCACAGCACTACTGCCTCATCGTCCTCTTGCCATTGGTTACCCATCTTTCCAAAAACTCGAGAAGAAGTGCAAAAAAGTAGCAGCTCAAAGAAGTACCTAAATACAGAGAAACCTACTGGGCCGCAGTGGAACCTCTTAGAACATCCTGAGTCTATCAGCACAGGAGATACGAGGCTGAAATCAGTTTCTCATTAAAAATTTCTGTTTCTCTTTGAATGGTGCAGCTGTTACCTCAGGCACCAGAATGTAACATCTGCTCTATTTAAGGTGGAACAGAAAGTTCAAATGAGAAGCTGTGAATAAGAATCAGCAGAGGAACTGAAGCCTGTACAGCTCTGTTCTTCTCTTTTTGGATTATTTTGGTCTTAAACGCGATATTACAGCTCCAGAGTGAGATGAGTGACGCAACGGAATGAGACGAAACCCAGAAAAGAGAATTAGGACATACATATTTATGATTACAGTGAAACTCAGGAAAAAGTAGATACCTTTTCTCACCGATACACTCGAGTAGGAGTGAAAGTATGAGCATTTGAAAATGCTCAGGAAAGTACGAATCCACCCAAATTTTATGGAAGGAACTGCATAAGCTTAACTAATTCAAATCCACCTCTGATCAGAGAGTGTGTGAAGTACAGGTGGGCGTGGCTATTCAGATACACAGATGTTTGAACTTATCTTAGTGTCTCTCTTCTTCAGATCTCTCAGTGCAGGATTGGCAGCAGGACGTTAGCAGTGGGAACAGCACCAGAGTGCTCAGTTACACCATCGCCATCAACAACCCCCTGGGCCCTAAAACTGCCCCCGTGGTCGAGACTCAGGTGGGTCAGGCTGTTTCTGTTGCTGTGCCTTTAAGACTAATATATGTAAATGATCTCTGTTTCGATTGGCTGCCCTAATTCACAAAAGCAGTCCGAATAGCATCACTGTGGAACAGCAACTCTCTGCCCAGTAACACCGAGGAGCCGGGTGAATTAAGTAGATTAATTCACCTCTTATCAGTCTTATCAGTACATGTTCTAAATGTTCTGAATATTCTGAATACGTTTTTTTTATATATTGTAATGAACTACATTACTGAATCCATTTGGTACAGTGTGTTCAGTACTTTTTCAGAGTATTTTGCCCAACCCCTGTATCTGAGGATGCTCATGGTTGTGACATCACAACCATAATGATTTTCAAACACTCCATTTTTTCGTAACCACTTATGGCCTGTATGAACCAAGAGGGGGATAATATTACATCTAAGATCTACAGACCCTTTTTTAATAATTTCATTTGAGATTGTTTCACTGGAAATTGGGAGAGATGATTTTGCTGTATGTTAATGGTTTTGAGTTAATGTGTTTATGTTGTGTGTGTATGTGTGTGTATGTGTGTGTGTGTGTGTGTGTGTGCGCGTGTGTGCGCGTGTGTGCGCGTGTGTGCGCGTGTGTGCGTGTGTGTGCGTGTGTAGACTCTGTATAAGAGCAGCTCTCGAGGGGAGTGTTACGTGGTGGACTCTGAGGTGATCACCTCAGGCATCCCGTATCAGGACTACTTCTACACCACACACAGATACTGCCTTACAGCTGTCAGCAAAACCAAGAGCAGGCTCAGGTAATACATAATACACTCCAATAATAAGAAGTCATCATATATATATATATATATATATATATATATACACACACAACCGATATATGTAACTTTACAGGAGGAAGAACAAACTTCATAATGGAAGTCAGTGTAAAGTAATTTGGACCATTTCTATTGGTCTGGTCTGTTTATTAAGAGATGTTAGCGCCGTATAAAGGGTAGCTGGGATATTGAAGTCACACAAAAAAGTAAAACTAACAAAAATGGAGGTACTGGGTTTTTGTGACGATCTGTAAATATCTGTAGTATATCAATACGTTTTCAAACGAGATATAGGATGAGACAGTACCGTTTATTCTGATACAGATGGTCATGTACTTTATGAAAAGTGCCAAGTGGTGCGATAAACCACTGCGGTGGCCGACCACATCGCTAAGGTGAATCAAGAAAGCTTTAAAAAGCTGCTAAAAACCGTTGACCCAGCATACCAGTTGCCCTCTCACAAGTACTTTGCAGGAGAAGCACTACCAGAAAGGGACACTGAGGTCACCAAAGTGACTCATTTCGTGCTGACAGCAGATATGTGGTCAAGCGGGACACACAAGTCATATATGAGTTTGACAGCACATTTCAATGAAAGCAGATTAAGACAGGCCTGTTTTTTTTTGTTGTTGTTTTTTTTTTTTTTTTTTTAAACAGGCTTGATGTAATTATTCATTTAAGTGTTGATTTGTTGTGCAGCTGTATATTTCCATCATTTAGCCCACTTCTTAGAAAATACTGAGATATGTATTATGTGTCGCCATTCAGCCAAGATATGATTTTTGGTCCATATTGCGCAGCCCGTGTGTGTGTGTGAAAATGACTATATATTCATATTCGTATTGTTGGAATAAAACCCCCTTTTTTCATTTTTTCATTTTTTATTTTTTAACATAATTTGAAAATACCAGCTGCCCTTTACACTCTATTAACATTTCACGATGAACGGATCAGTAGAAACGGTTCAAAATGACTCAGAATAAAATCTTGTTAAATGAACTTATATTGAGAGATTAGAATGTTTTTGCTTCTCCTGTAAAGTTACTTTTTTGGAGATCGGAGGTTTTGTTCTGACAGTGACGTCTGTAATATTAATATCTAATAATAATGTAAATGTGTATAAATAATATAAATGTTTTTGCTCTTTTGGCGCTTCAGTAAAAGCACTTTACAAAGTCAGGAGCGTTTTGTTGCTTCTGATATTCAAAAGCTTAAACACACCAAACCATCTGCTGTCTCTGCACACGATGGTGATGATGATGAAGTTGGAAGTTGCTCTATAAGGGTGTGTCTGTCTGTGTGTGTGTGTGTGTGTGTGTCTGTGTGTGTGTGTGTGTGTGCGCGCAGGGTTTCGTCTGATATCTGCTACAGGAAGCAGCCGTGGAGTCTGGTGAAAGCTCTGATAGAGAAGAACACCTGGAGCGGCATAGAGGAGCACTACAGACACATGGGTACACATACGTTACATAACCTGTTTACTGACACATTCAGTCCAACTGAAGTGGATAAAATAAAGAAGGAAATTAATATAGCTGTAAAAATACATTAATATAATGTTTTATTATAATAATGAGACAGAATTGTACAGTGCAGAAGTCAGAGACCACTGGTTCATCATCACCACTCATCATGTATTTAATTTTGAAAAAAAAAAATCTTTGACTTTTACACAGTATTATATAATAAAAGTATGCACTAATTTTGCAAAATACATTACTTACATCATTTTTGTTAAAGCCTAATGCAAAAATGCAAAAAAATAAATTGTATACACTAATATATATATACATATATATTACATTACTCTGTATTGATTTGCACTAATGTGAATTGCTCCACCAGACACATTTGTGTATGTGGTGTATTTTTAATAAAATAATATTTGTACCAAAATCATGGTAAAGTTTGAGATTTTATGATGCAGCAAATCATAATTAAATCTAATTAACACGCAGATTTACATCCTTCACTATCAGTGCTGCTGTTACAGTGTCATAGTGTCTCTGAACTGTGCAGGTTTTAAAGTGTGTGTGTGTGTGTGTGTGTGTGTGTGTAGAGGTGGAGGTGTGTAAGTTGGAGACACTCCTGCAGTCTGAAGTGTCTGTGGTGGGAGTCGGTGAAGCCCCCGGCGCAGACGGGGCGAAAGCAGCCGCCGGCCTGCGCAGACGCAAACGCGCCTGCTCCAGACGCGCCGCCGAGAGGGAGGGGCCAGGGGGCACCGGAGAGCGGGCCGAGAGAGGGGTCACGGAGGAGAGAGAGCGCAGAGACGCCGGTGAGTTTAAACACTGAGGACACGGTTCATCCTGTTCACTGCCCTCTGGTGGTGAAAAGGCAGAGATGCAGTGGGCTTTAATAATTCTACATTTTGTTAGTATTTTGTTTTTCACAAACACAACTTTACAATCGTTATAAAAGAGAGAAAATGTCCACTATGAGGCAACAGTAGAAAAAATGAAAACAAGTAGAAAAGTCTTCAGAGGATGTTTAAAGGAAGAAATTACACTATAGGAGTTCCAAGATTTAGGCCTGTATGCTGTGTGGACTAAGTGATATTTTCATATTTTCTCTACTTAGTAGATACTATATATTTTATTTCATATATGTGTGTTACTATATACCACTGAGATCCTGTGTCTATTAAAGTTGGGCCTTTAGTTTTTGCCATAAATGTGAAAAATGTGAAGAGAAGGACAAAAACACTGTGATAATGCTTATTTATGGGATTTCTAGTAGTTGGAACGCATTGACATTTTTGGCCAGATTTTATTTTATATATATATATATATATAAAATATATATGTATGTACATTTACATATATATTTATATATAATATATTATACAGATATTATCATATATCTAGTTGTATATATATACAGTAAATGGCTACCGCCACTGTTTAACATTTCTAACAACTAACCAGAACCTGCTTGGACTATGACTCACAGTCAGTGACATATCTAGAACTTCCAGAAGGACTTGAGGGACATTTTAAATCAGAGCATGATTGATCGATTCTTCTGTCACTGCCTAATAATGTTGGTTATTAATCTAACATGTAAGACCTTCAGTCCAGCTCCTGAAGTCCTAACCAATGGGAGAGCTCGCTTGACTGTATCTACCTAGATACCACAGAAAAAACGATCCTTATAGGATAATTCTTCTTTTGGCATTTCAGCCTTTAAACCATTTTGTTTCCAACCAAAACAGAAAAATTGTGCTAATTCTGGTAAATAAAAATGAACAGACGTGTTTTTAATTCACGGTGCTGTTTGTGTTTTTCAGGTGGGCAGTACCTGAAGGTTGGAGAGAGGTGGCGCGGAGCAGCCGGCAACAACAACATCTCCACCATCCTGCTCATCATCAGCTTCATGTGAGTTACATCACTCTCCGTACACATGCTCACATTAAAGGGCGCACGTCGTGTGTTTATCTTGGGTTTTATGTTTTAGTCCCTGAGGTCCTTGCATGACGTCTGTGTGGGTTTGTTTATCAAAAACAGTCGTAATTCATGTTTATGTGACCGTTTTCCAGCCTCTCTTCATTCCTCCTGTTTAAACAGGCTGTTTTTGTTGCTGTGCCTGTAAGACTGACATGTAAATGAGTTAGTCTTTCTGTATTGTGCCTCATTCAGGAAGCACTCAGAGCTAAAACACCTTATAACCTCAGCATGAGTGGGCGGGGCTAAACTTCTTTAGGCTGAATGGGTGAATATATGTAAATGTGTTGGGTTTTGTGACCTCACAAGTATAGTGAATTCGAAACGGGCTGTTTGTATAGCTTCGTTTACATGTATGGACTGAGTGATTGATACGATTTTTTAAAAGTGGACCATGATTACATTGATTTTTCCATGATTTGAGCCCGTTAATTTACAAAACTGAATCATAGTAATATTACAAAACTGCAATTTTATTTTATTTTATTTTATTTGTTTATTTACTTTCCATGGTGCACAGATTCGGGTTTAGCATTCGCCGGTTTTACTGTTTTAATTGTTGTAGGGCCCTCGTGTATTCTCTTTTCTTTTGTCTGTCTTTTATTACTTTCCTGGTTACATTCTTTCTTTCTTTCTTTCTTTCTTTCTTTTGTTCTTTCGTCATTTTTTTCCTTTTCTTCTTGCCTTCTTTCTTCCTTGCTTGCTAATTGCTGCCTGGTACCTCCCTCTCTCTCCCTCTCTCTACTGCTTCCCTCGTTCCATGCTGTGTGTAGGATCTGTATCAGGTACAGTAACTCTTTATAGTAGCTCTCTTAAAGCCCTGTTATTGTTTGTCCCAGTGAAGTTGTATTCAGGAACAGGTGTCGTCCTCTTATGTAGATCACTGGTTGTAGTCAGTACAGTGTGCTTAAAGGGGCTGGAAACACAATCGTTAATATTAAAACTCAATGCTGGATTTGATTAAACTAAATCCTAAACATGATGGTGGTGTAGCTGTGGCAGTATAAACAACCTAAGAACAGCAGCGAGTCTTTTATTTCTCTTTTTAAGCTTTTATTTTCTGGCAGTAGTTGGACTTGGAGTCATTGTGAGTTATAGGCTTACGAAGGTACGGTTATGTTCAACCAGGTCTGATTCCAGAGTGTTAGTAACTAACACTGAAAGATCCATCATCCAAACACTGTTAGCATTTGCTAAGCTATAGCGCTGTGGCTGGGTGACTATGATAGATGACAGCATAAACATTCAAACATCCAATGACAGTAGAGAAAGAGCTGTTTCTCATTTATCAGTGTCATGTTTTACAGTCATTTTATCACAATTAAAGGGTGGTTCAGATGTCTTTACAGTGGTGGTGATAGGAACCAGGGGTCACCATGACTACAACACAAATATAGACATTTTATTTACTATCCAGAACCACCAGTGAACCTACACGAGTCTTCTGAGTCTATATGAATGTTGATGATGGAAAATAGTGGAAAATCTGAAATAATAAGTTTCTCTTTGGGGACTATTTTGCCTCACAGCGCCCTGCATGTATCCCTCCACCATGAATGGAGTTTAAGTTCTCTAAACGATCATAAAACAGTGTCTCAGTCATCAGGCAGTGAATTCATAACCATTTCATGTAGGAACTTTCTGTGAGGGAGCTTTTAGAGGTGGACGTCTGGTTCCTATCACCACCACTGTGAACAGTTCTGACTCGGTAAGTTTATCTAGAACAGAGCGTTTCACACCAAACCACTCTGAACGGCTCTGATCTCATTGGTGGTCGGTAAAGAGACTGTGGTTTGTGTGGGGCAGAGTGACCTAATTCTGATTGGTTCATGAGATCTCTTGACGTCAGATCTTCCAGTGTGGTTCAGCCCAAATCCAACAAAGGAAACTCCAAAATGACCAGTACTGTTCTATATTTGTGGTGGTCAATTGTACATTTGTTGACAAGTTGACAGCCCCTTTAAGAACTCAGTAAATAACTCACTGTGTTAAATCAGTAAAATACTGATCTCCTGAATGTGTTATTAATGTTCATTTATGAAGCGGTGATGTTCAGTAGCCCTTCATTTAAAGGCTGCCTACACGGGGACTTCATATCATACGCTGAGCACTGAATAACACATTTATAAACCCACTTACATCCAAAGACTTCAAGTACTATAAAGAAATTGACCACAGATTTTTTTTCTGTTCGAGCAAAAAATTGACCACAGGTCGGTGTCAGGCCACGTTGTGGTACTGCCTGTTCAACCAATATTTAAAAAAAATATAATAACCCTTATTCTTCACGTTTTTTATTCAAAATCGTAATTTTAGATAATCGTGTCTCTCATTAATCTCCATGTGTTGTTGTAATTTGACTTGTCTCGAATCAAACAGTACCACCTTTATTCCAGATTCCTGAACAAAAATTCCAGAACAAAACACTGCTGATCAATCTTGCTGTAATAAAGGAAATGTTAAAATTAATTAATTTTAATAATTAACAATTATTAAAGATAATTCATTTCAAAGTTAATTCTGCTGATGCGTGTGATATGAGGTCCCTAACCTTCAAATAAAGTGTTGCCTAAAGTGATGTTTACTTTTCTGTTTACTTTTCTTAATTCCTTCCTTCCTTCTCTCTCTCTCTCTCTCTCTCTCTCTCTCTCTCTCTCTCTCTCTCTCTCTCTCTCCCTCTCTCTCCAGTCTGGTGGTGTTGGTTGCTCTGAACATGCTGCTGTTCTATAAGCTGTGGGCTTTGGAGCGAGCGGCTCACACACTGGAGACCTGGCACTCGTACTCGCTCTCTGACAGGTACTGTACATTAACATACCTCACTGTACCTCACTGTACATCACTGTACCTCACTGCACTCACTGTAGGGCTGAAACCACTTATTATTATCGATGACTCCAGGCCTGGTTTTACTTACAATGAATTCACACATGCAGCAATGAATCGCCCTGAGAGTGACGAGAAACAATATCAACACCATCAGAAACAATAATATTTTCATGCTTATTCAGATTTAATCTCATGAGGACAGACGTGATGACGTAACGAGAACGTCTTAGAACAGCTGAGAGTGAAAGTAGAGTTATTACATTGGATAGAAAACCAGTCAAACACCTCGAGAAAGCAGAGCTCACAGTAGGGGGCACTGGTGCAGAATTGTCCAGTGGATAACTAGCCTCTCTCTCTCTCTCTCAGTCCCCTCCCTCAGTCCGCTGCAGAGTGGACGCAGGTTCTTCAGATGCAGCGTCAGTTCCATCAGGCTCAGCTGGGCAAATGGCAGCAAATCCTCCAGTCGTCGGTCACCCTGCTCGACCAGGTACCTCAGATGTCCTGTATGTGTTGCGTAGCACTGTCATGATTAAACTTGATTATTTGATATTATAAAAGACAATTAAAACGAACCCAGTGCTGAGCCTCGCGGTGAGGCTGCAAGCACCCTAAAGACCTCCACAAGGGGCGGTCACATTTGGTCTATACTGACCAGCACAGCACACAGTGAGGAATGTACACCATGCAGGCTTGGTGCTCACATAACATCGCAAATTCCAGCAACCCGCTAACGGAAATCAGCATTATCTTATCAGTGATGACACGAGCAAAGGCTAATTATAAAATGACGGTTTCTACATAAACACTGCTGTATATGTAACCCCCAAGGTGGTTCCATCTCATGATAATGTCCACGGTGGAAGAGGACACAGTGCCCTTCTGACCAGACCACATAACTGTATGATAAACTCAGCTTAGACTGACCTACACAGGTGTGAACTGTCAAGTCAGATCAGATCTGAGCAAAACATCTGAATTGAGCGATGAGGTTTGTTGTGTGAACGTAGCCTAGAGATGGTTCTTCAAGGGCTATTTAGAACCATTTTCTTTATTATATAGAATCATGAACACTCAAAGAACGCTTTGCATGATTAAATGATTCTTTGCCTCATGAAAGAGTTCTTCAGATTGATGAAATATGTACTGTATGTTTCTAAATAGAACCTTTTTGAAAAGAGGGGTTCTTCTGTTGTAACAAACTTGACATCAGAACAGTAGAAGAACCCTTTTTGGTGCTATTTTCAAAAGGTTCTATATAGAACCATATACAGGGCATTCATTCTCCATCGTTCTGAAAAACCCTTTCATGATGCAAAGAGCCATTTGAGTGTTCATGGTTCTGTACACTCTCAGAAATAAAGGTGCTAAACTGTCACTGGGGTCAGTGCCCCTCTTGTCACTGGGGTGGGACCCTCAAGGGTCCATCTCAGTACCTTTAGTCAGGGAACATAACTGAACCATAATCCACTGAAATGATATGTTCTAAGCTGTACTGACTCCACACACCCCGTCTCGTCTCCAGGCTTTTATTTTACTGTTCTGTTTAAAACATTCAGTTATGAAAAGGTACAAATACGAACTTTTCACCTGGAAAAACTTATTTAAGGTTCACAATCAGACCTTAAAACCACTGTAGAACCTTTGAGGGAACATTTACACTGTTTGTACTTTGATGAACAAAAAATGTACCTGAACAGAACCTTTATTTCTAACAGTGTTTAGATTAATTTCCTTTAAAGAGCCCTTAAAGGACCGTCTTTTTACAGAGTGAATGACTGAACATCTCTCTCTGTGATTCTCTCAGATGAAGCAGTCTCTGGAGAAGCTCCACAAAGGCATCATCAGTCCGGAGATGCTGCAGGACGCTCCTGACCCCTCAGCTGCGTCTGCCTCAGACACACTGCCGGATCAGTGACCGTCTGTCCGTCTGTATCTCTCTACTGTAGCTCTGCTGAACCCGTTCACAGACTCTTACAGAGAAGCTCTGGTCCAGACAGCTCCTTCTCTGTGACCGCTGACGCTCCAGTGGCTGCAGACTGAGCGTTTTAATCCTCCCTGCTGGACCTCCTGATTGTTTATTAGCCGTGTGATCACTTCATCATGGTTTCATTAGTGGGTAAAGTTACCCAGGCTCCTTAGCTGCAAAATGCCTTTCTACTGTGACAGAACCGCGAGGGAATCCGAGCAGAAGCCCTCGCGTCCAAAAACCACTTCAACACTAAAGCAATAACTCTGCAATGCGGTGGTTCCTGCTGTGCCCCGGTTCTGCACGTGCTCGTCCTGCTTTATCTTAAAAAAAGAAATACTCCAGACTTTTCAGCCTGATCTCTGTTTACCGCGCCTGTAGTGTAGCTTCAGTTATCACCGAAAAAATAAAGATAAAATGTTAGCCAGAACTTTGAAAAGAGAAGAAAACTTCCTCACTCGAAACTCACTTATAATGCAGGTCAGTGGGCAGCAGCTGAGATCCAACTGGACGCTTTTAAGCAGAAGAAACATTTTCACGAAGTCACGAAGGCAAATGTCTTGAATTTCACATCAAACTGAGTATTTGATGTTGGCAAATGTGCTGTAGAAAAAGATTAAAAGTAAATTAGGAATAAAAGGAAAAGCCGTCCAATGGAATATTGTAATAAATCTGACTCAAAACGTCTGAAATGATCATTTCCAGCAGTTTTTCAGTTAAACGTACTGAAGGGGGCGCCGTCCATTGACTTGCATTCTAAGTGAAGTCGTTTTCTGTTATTTTCTAAATACAAGCAGACGTGAAATGATTTTCCGTGGTAATATGCTATACGCTACAGATGCAGGAGATTAGGCTGGAAAATTCTGGAATGTTTCTCTAATGAGCGGAGTGGTGGGATCAGGAGCAGGAGCGGGACTGGGGGTACTTAGGGACCACCGCTGTACGGTGACTCAGCTGTACTTCGGGTAGGGTTCCATGGAGCTCGGCCTCCATCCTTATCATGGACCTCCTTCCAAACTGCACCTTGAGCCGTTTCTGTCTGGATGCTCCGGGTCCGGACTCCAGCTTTTTATGGGCCGCGTTTCAAAAACCGGAGTGGCTCCAGCTGCACAGCGGACCGAACTGTATCTGAGTCTCTACAGCCGTGAAGCTGCTTCATGGACACATTCCTGCGAACGCCTCCTGCTTCGGAATGGAGCCGCTGCTCTGCGGACTGGGAGCGATCGGCCTAGAGACGGACGTGTTCGTTCATTCGTTCATTCGTTCATTCATTCATTCATGTCTTTATTTAAACTGCTAACACACAGAGTTCACTCGTTTACTGAGTGTAACAGTAATCAAAGCGACGGTCAGCAGGAGGCAGAATATCCGAAATTCTGCTTCTTAACTGTCTCCATTTTTATCTTTTTCTCATCTTCTTTTTCCCCGAATTCCTGCTCTCACTCTTTTCTCTCTTTCATTCGTTCTCATTCCATCTTTTCCCTTTTTTCTTTTCTCTCTTAAATTCTGATTCCTCTCTCTCTTTATCCAGTTCCCTCATTTCTTTCTCTTTTTCTCTCTTCATTCAATTCCCTTATTTCTCTTTCTCTACTCGTTCTCTCTCTTTCTGTTTATCCAATTCCCCTATTTCTCCGTCTCTTTTCATTCTCTCTGTATTTCTCTTTCTCTCACTTTTCCTAGTCTGTCTTTTCTCCTTTCTTTTTTCTCTTTTGGTCTCTCTCCCTTTTTTTCCTCAACTCTCACTTTCATATTTCCTGTTTTTTTCTTTCTTTTCTTGTTCTCAGTAGTGTCTGTCTTTATTTTTCTCTTGATCTCTTTATCTCCATCTCAGTTTTCTTTCTTTCTCTCCCTTATCCTGCTTTAACCTTTTCTTTCTTCTCTCTGTTTTCTTCTCTTGGTCTGTCTCTGTCTCCTCTCTCTCTCTCTCTGTCTCTGTCTCTCTGTCTCTCTCTCTCTCTCTCTCTCTCTCTCTCTCTGATATATGCAGTGTTTTCAGGTTTGAGTGGAAGAGGCGGGTCCTCGTCTTCACAGCTTCTTCCACCTTCATCTGTTCTCTTCAGTGACTGAAACATGATGAGATCTTCAGAGACGATTTGTTTTCCACCGTTACAGTATTTATTTATCTGATCTCAGTTTGTCTGCCTTTGTTTCGACTCGTTTTTGAGTGTTACGTTCTGTTCTGCGTGGCGTTGAACACGGACCAACGAACTGAAAACGAGAGTTTTAGCAATAATCGCGCCGAGAGACGCAGCGAAGATGATCACTGATAATGTTGAAAAGGCTAAGTTTGTATAAAACAATGCTGTGAGTGAAACCGGAGCAGAACTGTTTGTTCCACTTTCTCTGTCTGAGTGTTATTTATTGAGGTTTGACCTGTGAGGGTGACGATCGCGCTGTTATCATGTATTTGGTCAATGTAATCAATATTGTATTATATTGGAAGCAGACTTGAAGTGATCAGGGTAACCGTAGACTTGACCAGCTGAAAGTAGACACAGAGTTTTAGTATTTAAGTATTTATGTCCTCCGGGCCGGACTGAAACGGACCAAACTGATGTGAAGGCCCGGACGAACTGATAAAGGGAACCGCAGCGTCTTCATTCGCTCGTGTCCGTCTGCCGCTCGCAGGCTTTTAGTCCTCTTCAGTTTTTGTATGTTTTTAGCTATTTTGTTGTTTTTTTTGTAGCGCTGCTGTCTGTTACTGCTGTCTCCCCTCTCCACCCCCAACCTTCGCCCCCCTGCCTCACATCACATTTTCTTTCTTTTATGACTTTTTTTCCTGCTTTTTCAGTTCTTTCATCCCTGCTGTGTCTGCTCAGCTGCTGTATTTATTTGGGGTAAGGGGAGGGGGGTAAGGGAGGGGGACTGTACTGTAAAGAACTGATTGTAAAAATGAGGTCAAGAAAATGAAACCTGGAAAAGTGTTTGAGTGTTTTTTGTGTGTTTTATACCTGCTAACACAAATGATCCGAAACACGCAAGATATTGATGTAGGACATGGGCTCTTTAACGTAGTATATGGGCTCTTTAATGTAGTATATGGGCTCTTCAATATGGGATATGGACTCATTAATGTAGTATTTGGGCTCTTTAATGTAGAATATGGGCTCTTTAATATAGGATATAGTCTCTTTAACGTAGTATATGGGCTTTTTAATGTATCTGGGCTCTTTAATGCAGGATACAGGCTCTTTAATTTAGTATTTGGTCTGTAATGTAGTATATGGGCACTTTAATGTAGCATATGGGCTATTTAATGCAGGAAATGGGCTCTTTAATGTGGGAGATGGGCTTTTTAATATAGGATATGGTCTCTAATACTTGATATGGGCTCTTTAACCTAGGATATGGGCTATTTAATGTAGGTTATGGTCTCTTTAATGTTGTATATAGGCTCTTTAATGTAGGATACAGGCTTTTTAATGTGGTATATGGGCTCTTTAATGTAGGATACAGGCTATTTAATGTAGGAAATGGTCTCTTTAATGTAGAATATGGGCTCTTTAATGTAGGATATGGTCTCTTTAATACAGTATATGAGCTCTTTAATACAGTATATGAGCTCTTTAATACAGTATATGGGCTCTAATACAGTATACGCGCTCTTTATTGTAGTATATGGGCTCTAATACAGTATATGAGCTCTTTAATACAGTATTTGGGCTCTAATACAGTATATGAGCTCTTTAATACAGTATTTGGGCTCTAATACAGTATATGAGCTCTTTAATACAGTATATGAGCTCTTTAATACAGTATATGGGCTCTAATACAGTATATGAGCTCTTTAATACAGTATATGAGCCCTTTAATACAGTATATGAGCTCTAATACAGTATATGGGCTCTAATACAGTATATGAGCTCTTTAATACAGTATATGAGCTCTTTAATACAGTATATGAGCTCTAATACAGTATATGAGCTCTAATACAGTATATGAGCTCTTTAATACAGTATATGGGCTCTAATACAGTATATGAGCTCTTTAATACAGTATATGAGCCCTTTAATACAGTATATGAGCTCTAATACAGTATATGAGCTCTTTAATACAGTATATGGGCGCTAATACAGTATATGAGCTCTTTATTGTAGGATATGGGCTCTTTAATACAGTATATGGGCTCTAATACAGTATATGAGCTCTTTAATACAGTATATGGGTGCTAATACAGTATATGAGCTCTTTAATACAGTATATGAGCTCTTTAATACAGTATATGAGCTCTAATACAGTATACGGGCTCTTTATTGTAGGATATGGGCTCTAATACAATATATGAGCTCTTTAATACAGTATATGGGCGCTAATACGGTACATGAGCTCTTTAATACAGTATATGGGCTTAATACAGTATATGAGCTCTTTAATACGGTATATGAGCTCTTTAATACAGTATATGAGCTCTAATACAGTATATGAGCTCTTTAATACAGTATATGAGCTCTAATACAGTATATGAGCTCTAATACAGTATATGAGCTCTTTAATACAGTATATGAGCTCTTTAATACAGTATATGAGCTCTAATACAGTATATGAGCTCTTTAATACAGTATATGAGCTCTAATACAGTATATGAGCTCTAATACTTTATATGGGCTCTAATACAGTATATGGGCTCTTTAATACAGTATATGAGCTCTTTAATACAGTATATGAGCTCTTTAATACAGTATATGAGCTCTTTAATACAGTATATGAGCTCTAATACTTTATATGGGCTCTAATACAGTATATGAGCTCTAATACAGTATATGAGCTCTTTAATACAGTATATGAGCTCTAATACAGTATATGAGCTCTTTAATACAGTATATGGGCTCTAATACAGTATATGAGCTCTAATACTTTATATGGGCTCTAATACAGTATATGAGCTCTAATACAGTATATGAGCTCTTTAATACAGTATATGGGCTCTAATACAGTATATGAGCTCTTTAATACAGTATATGAGCTCTTTAATACAGTATATGAGCTCTTTAATACAGTATATGGGCTCTAATACAGTATATGAGCTCTTTAATACAGTATATGAGCTCTTTAAATGAAAGCAGCTGAAACACATTTGGTACATTTTTACTGCCGTTTTATCTGTAAAATGTGTAAAATGTCAGCGAGACAGAAACACAAACACACTCATTAGTATTCATTTATATTTATTTCATATCTTTATAATTTGTTTGGCAAGCAACATTTTCACTTATACATGTAGTGCATACTTCAGAGTTGGTTGAGGCTGTAGAAGTGTGGAGTGCGACTGTACAGAGTGTTTACAGGGTGCGTCTAAACAATCACTGTCTGTCACTGGTGAAGTGCGTTATGCTGCGTTCATGGCTGCGGCGGAACTGGGAACTTTCCAGGGGGGAAAAATCCATTTGAGAATGGCTGTCCAATCATAATTCCCTCACTCGGAAAGCTGGAGTTCCTCAAGACCTCCGACTTTCCTGAGTCGCAAAATCCCAGGGGAGCTGCAGAATTCCCAGAGTTCAGGATGGTTTAACGGCGACTGTAGAGGTGTGTAGAGCTGTTGGTCAGTTCTGAGCACCAAAGCGGCCTAATATTGTTAAACCTACTAGATGTGGCTTCTCGTGTTGAATCTCAGTGTGTGACCCAATCAGCTTTTCCACTGCGTGGTACCGACTCGACTCGGCTTGACTTGACCTGCTTTTGGTACCGGCTACTTCGTTTTCCACAGTACATATAGCGCCCCCTAGGTGTAGCTTGTCGTCATAGCGACGCCAAATGAAACTTTGGGAAAAACTACAGCTACGCTAACCTGGTAGCTAATGTTAGCTTATGTGTTTAGCAATTCTCTCCAACCAATCAGCAGCCTGCAGTGTTTTTACGTCACCTTTTGTTATCGGCTCAGCCGCCTGGAACCTCGACAGAGATGGTACCAAAAAAGTACTGGGTACCAGGTACCACCTTTTTCTAATGGAAAACCAAAAAAGGCGAGTCGAGTCGAGTTGGTACCATGCAGTGGAAAAGCGCCTTTACACTGCTAAACATCAGCAATCTGATTGGTCTCTGCTCAGCTTATTTGCATAATGTTGCTTTTGCATGATGTCACTGTGCACATCATGAATATGCTGCTTAAATTTAGCAACGCCCCCCAACCCAAAACACCTTCCTCCACTCTCTAATAGCCTGACTTAAGAAGATAATCGAAAATTGAAGTCAGGATTTTTGACCTAAATGTGTGATGATATGTAATTTTGGCCCTGTATTAATAATGAATTTTCACAGCTTACATTCACATTTAAAATAAACAAAGAACTGACCAAACAGCTCTTTAACTCCAGTGTAGAAGAGCTTTTTATGCAATCTGCAAACAAAAAACACTGTGCATCTGGAAAAAGGTTCCCGAGTTTCACGTTTGTCTTGAACGCAGCATCAGTACCCATCACTCTTTTAGTAGTATTAGCACTAAAAGCAGCTAACGTTAAAGGAGCACCTCACCTCGCAGTGCTAAGCCTGCTAATAATGACTGAATGAATGAAGGGCATCAAACACGGTCGCGCTGTAAGACCCCCATTAGCTTCCGCTCATTGTTAGCATGTTAGCATGCAGAGTGAGGTCCTCCTGTAAAGCATATACAGGTGATATGCAGTCAGTAATGTAGACAGTAACGGTGGGTTTTTCTCACTGTTTGGTTCAGTGAATTCAAGAAGAGGTGCCTATAGTTTTTACCACAACGAGACTTCTTACAAACTTCAACGGTTATGACTAATCGTTTAGGCAAAAGTGTTAGTCATGCAGTAAAAATCTACTCAGAAAATGTCAGCACTGACCGGAACGTCTCAAAGGTACTAAAATCAGTGTTGAAAAGTCAGAGATTTGAATCGTGAGCTCAGTTATAAAACCCTACTCGGCGAGTCGCGCGGGGAACGAGGCAGTAGGACTGTGGCAGTGTTATGCTGCTCCCTGTAGTCACTGCCAGGAATTGGCTACCAGGAGGGGTTAAAGGAGTCCGTCAGCGTTTTTCACCCTGATCTCCATCTGCTGCAGCTGTAGCATTACGGTCAGTTAGCACAGACGGTCATTTAAACACGTTTCCCTCAACGTATACATATGGAAACCGAAGCTGCAAAAACAACTGCTTTGAATTAATCGTGGTTATGATGTCACAGCCATGAAAATATTTATATATGGCCCTGCCCAATCAGTCTATTACACTTTGGCCCCACCTATTGTGTCTACAGTAGTTTAGCCCCACCCATTTAGCCTACAGCAGTTTAGCCCCACCCATTTAGCCTACAGCAGTTTAGCCCCACCCATTCAGTCTACAGCAGTTTAGCTCCACCCCTTCAGCTTACAGGAGTTTAGCCACGGCCATTCAGCCTATGGCTGCTTAGCCCCACCCATTCAGCCTATAGCAGTACCCCTTCCCATTCAGCCTACAGATTGTTAGCCCCACCCATTTAGCCTACAGCAGTTAGCCCCGCCCATTCAGCCTACAGCAGTTTAGCACCACCCCTTCAGCCTACAGGAGTTTAGCCCCGGCCATTCACCCTACAGCAGTTTAGCCCCTCCCAATCAGCCTATGGCTGCTTAGCCCCACCCATTATCTAACTGCAGTTTAGCTCCACACCTTCCCAGGAGCTAGAAAATTTGAGGGGAATAAAGTCTATGGTGATCCACCGTCCACCACAGATGCAGCAGATGGAGATCAGGTTCAACAAACACTGAAGCGCTCCTTTAAGAGGAGAAGTTCTTTTAATCCACTTTTCCTATCAGTGTATCATCATTTCTCCGTTTCTCGTTGGAATGCTTCATACAGGAACAGTAAAAGGCTTGCATACATTTTTCCTATCACAGGCAGCACAGTTTGACAGTCAGTTTCATCAGAGACGCTCAAATCATCATGCAGCCCTTTGGTCCTTCAGTGAAAATGTCCTGTTAGGGAGGTTAGAGTTTGAGATGGCTACGGTACGAACTGTGACTACAGTCCTTACAGCTGATGAGACAGCAAGGCCATGACCAACCAGCCGGAATCTGCTTCTTCAGTGAAAAGAAGGCTGAGGCTGCGTTGGTTTAACTACATCTGAGAGCTAAGAGAGCAATAACTGCCCTTAGCTAAGGTCAATATACATAAAAAAGGCCATTCAGGGCAACCATCTGTGTTCAGACCTCATTAGTAGAGCATATATATATATATATATGTTACTCTCTGGAACTGGTGGCAGGCTGTAGCTTTATGCTAACTGCTAATAGCTTTATATAGATATATATTGATCCAAACTGAACTCATGTGCTTTGTGATATATAAAATATTTCTGTTTGAGGAGTGTAGCTGAACACCATGTATTACTGTTTAACTGTCACATTATTTGAGGATTTGTGCCATTAACCCTACAAAACCATTGCTTTTGATCGTGCAGACTGTTTTTAGATTCACAGAAAAAGATACGTATCAGTGGGACAAGGAGAGGAAGCTAATTAGCATTAGCATTAAGAATATTATTCCTTTTGTAGAAAATATTATAGTATATATTATTGGACCAACGTAAATACAGCTGAAGGAATAGTTTAACCTCAGAATGCTAACACGGCTCACAGTGGATTCAATTTGCAGTTAGCAATGTTAGCTTGTTGGTTGGTCAGCCGTTAGCATTAGCATTCAGACTGATATCACATTTATAGAAAAACCCAGTTAGCCTTTCCAGTCTGAATGGAGCTGAAAGGATAGTTTAACCTTAGAATGCTAACACGGCTAATAATGAATGAAATCTGGGGTTAGCAACGTTTGCTTGTTAGTTGGTTAGCCATTAGCATTAGCATTCAGACAGGTATCAGATTTATAGAAAGAGGTTTGTATTATTGGGCCCAGTTAGCCTTTTCAGTCTGAATGCAGCTGAAGGGATAGTTTAACCTTAGAACTCAGCTAGCAATGAATAAAAGGTAAAGTTGTGATTTACCATGAATTCTAAACTGTAAAATGTAGGTTATATTAATTGTCCGACACACATTTTCAAAGTGTTGAACAATCCCTGTGAGGAATAAGGAGAGGGAGCTGGTTCTAGGTCAGCTGTGGTCAGTTAGCCATTAGCATTAGCATTCAGACTGCTATTAGATTGGTAGAAAAAGGTAGGTATTATCAGACACAGTTAGCCTTTTCAGTCTGAATACAGCTGAAGGGATAGTTAGAATGCTAACACGGCTAACAATGAATAAAAGGTTGTGATTTACCATGAATTCTAAATGGTAATGCTAAAATGCTGATTAGCAGTGGCTAATCAGCATTTAGCATGTCCGACACACATTTTCAAAGTGTTGAACAATCCCTGTGAGGAATAAGGAGAGGGAGCTGGTTCTAGGTCAGCTGTGGTCAGTTAGCCATTAGCATTAGCATTCAGACTGCTATTAGATTTGTAGAAAAAGGAAGGTATTATCAGACACAGTTAGCCTTTTCAGTCTGAACGCAGCTGAAGGGATGGTTTAACCTCAGAACACAGCTGGCAATGAATAAAAGCTGGACCTGCGATTTACCATGAATTCTAAATGATAGTGCTAAATACTGATTAGCAATGTTAGCTTTCATTCGTTCTCTAGCATTTTTCAAAGTGTTGAACGATTTAAAGATGTGATTGAGGACAGGAAGCTGGTCCCAGGGCAGCTAAAGTTGGTTGGCCATTAGCATTAGCATTCAGACTGCTGTTATATTTATAGAAAAAGGTAGATATTATTGGGCCCAGTTAGCCTTTTCAGTCTGAATACAGCTGAAGGGGAAGCAGCCTGAATGCTAATAAAAGCTACGTCCGGTTCAGCTGTAGTTAGTTAGCCATTAGCTACAGCATCCAGACTGCTGTTAAGATTTATAGAAAAAGGTAGATATTATTGGGATCTATTAGGCTAGTCAATCTGAGTACAGCTGAAAGAGAAGCAGTCTGAATGCTAATTAAAAGCTGGGTCCTGTTCAGCTGCAGTTGTTTAGCCATTAGCTTTAGCATTTCTGTTCCCTTAATAACAGTGTTTAAACTGCCAGCCTCGACCTCCAGCTGCTACGGATGAGGCAGAGAGACAAAATGACCCAGATCACCACTTTCACTCTTCTGCCGTCAGAAACAGACAGACGTAAACATCCAGGCTGACACTTCATCGAGTGCCTGACTCATTATATTATAGACCGTTTTTAACTGTATCAGAATATAAAGGAATGTATTCATATCTATTGACTGATGTTGACTGGCTCACTATATGGAGAAATAAAACATTTTCATATATTTTCATATACTTGCATATAAAGCAGTTTTTTTTTCCTCTTGTGTGAAATAAAAAAGAAAGGATCAGAGTTAGAAGAATACATATATACAAGTCGTGTTCAATACAATTCTAATGTTTAGAGTTATACATTTACTCATGCTATGTTTAAACCCCTTTGGCGGAGCTTTCATTCAATACTCTGGAGAGAGTAGGAGTCCAAACCTCGACACAGAGCCTTTGGTGAAATGAAACGCTGTCGTGATGTTTCTACAAAACGCGTGGCCTTCAGCTCTTCTGTGGACAGTCAGAGTCTCTTACTGACAGCAGAGCAGAGCAGGAGAAGGTCACTGTGTGGACATGAAGATCAGAGCGATGGTGGAGTTTCAGGGACGGAGCTTGAGAGGTTTTTTGGCCCTGAAATTCAAAGCAAAGCCAGTTAGTCAAAGGGGAATTCCACCTACTTTTCGAAATTTCTGCATAATGACATTCTTAATGGATCATAATGAAAATGACTGTGCGTTTGTGTACTTAAAGGGAAATTCCACTGAATTCTCCAAATTTCTGCATAATTAAATGGTTAAGAGGTAGAGTGGTTTGGCATGAAATAGAAAAACTTAGTCAACTGTTCACAGTGGTGGTGATAGGAACCAGACATCCACCTGAACCCCATTGATAGTGGAGGGATATATACAAATTGGTGGTCATTTGCTTTCACTGACCAAGTGACCATGCTAGTTTTTAGAACAGCGAGATCAGAGGGTTTTCTTTTTCACACCGCTGTGGGACTGTAAACACCAGGGGTGGGAATCTTTAACAATCAAGTCTTAGTGACAGAATATAATCACAATTTTCAGTCATAAAAGAATTATATTGCAGTTTTGATATTTTGTGATGTGCTAAGTAGCTGAATGGACGTTGTGTTTTTTACTGAAGCAAAACAAAATTCTGAAGTAGACGAAGCAACATTCACTCAACACTCACTACCAACGTCTCTACTGATGGAGACACCAGATAGAAAAAATATGGCTATTCAACACCATCTTGTGGACTAAAATGACGATGCATGTTGATATCCTGTGGGCGTAAAGGGGAATACCACTGAATTCTCTAAATTTCTGTGTAATTAAGTGAGTAAGATGTAATCAGAGTCGTTCAGAGTGGTTTGGTGTGAAATGTTCTGTTCTAGAGAAACTTACTGAGTCAGAATTGTTCACAGTGGTGGTGATAGGAACCAGACGTCCACCTCTAAAAGCTCCCTCACAGAAAGTTACTACATGAAATGGTTATGAATTCACTGCCTGATGACTGAGACACTGTTTTATGATAGTTTAGAGAACTTAAACTCCATTCATGGTGGAGGGATACATGCAGGGCGCTGTGAGGCAAAATAGTCCCCAAAGAAAACTGATTATTTCAGATTCTCCACTATTTTCCATCATCAACATTCCATATAAACTCAGAAGACTCGTGTAGGTTCACTGGTGGTTCTGGGTAGTAAATAAAATGTCTATATTTGTGTTGTAGTCATGGCGACCCCTGGTTCCTATCACCACCACTGTAAAGACATCTGAACCATTTCACACCAAACCACTCTGAATCACTCTGATTACATCTCAAACACTGAGATTATGCAGAGATTTTGAGAAATTGGTGTAATTCTCTTTCAATATGTGACAAAATATGAATAATTAACTAATAAAACATCAACTTTTACACCTTCATACATTGATACTGTTATTTTTTTACCCATAATAAAGCATAATATACATATAATATACAACACTTCTGTACTGTTAACATGTTCTCTTGTTCAGAAGGTCAGCGTTCATCAACAGACGGCTGTGGTTTTTCAATAAACCTACCTGTTATTCCGCCACTGCCACACCAGCACAGTTATCTTTACTCTCGGAGGTTATAGCTAAATACTCAGCCCTGAGAGAGGAAAGCAGGACCGGGAGAGGAAAGACAGGAAGGAAGGAAGAAAGAGAGAAAGAGAAAGTCAGGAGAGAGGCCTACAGATATGCAGGTCTAGTGACAAATTCAGAAGGTTTACCAAAGACAGTGAAATATAAGGTAAATATAGATAAACACACTTTAAAGAGAGGAAAGAGAGGAATCTGCAGTGAAAGAAAAACAAAGTGACAAGAAAACAAGAAAACAGAAGACTGGCCGCCAGGCCTGTGGTGGGTCAGGTGACCTCAGAACACTCAGGACCCCCTTGAAGCTGCAGTTATCATCAGTGCTAATTATTTCTGACTCATATCAGTTTTAAAAAAACGGGTTCTTTAGTAAACACAGAACCATGAACACTCAGAGAACCATTTGCATGCTTAACTGGTTCTTTGCATGGTGCAATGGTTCTTCAGATTAATGTAGAAAGTGTTATATGGTTCTAAATAGCACCAAAAGGGTTCTGCTGTTACAATGTCAAACTTCTAATACATACTATAGTAGAACCATATACAACACATTCTCCATGCACAAAACTGTTTAAGCATGCAACAAATTCTTTGAGTGTTCATGATCCTATATAGAACCACTGTCTTTACTAAAGAACCCTTGAAGAACCAACTTTTTTAAAAGTGTAGCTCACTGAGACAAGAGGAGGAATTGTGTCGAAAGTGCATGTTTCAATCCACACAACCTTAAAACGACCAAATGTTTGTGTTTAATCTAGAACGGGCAAAAAATGTTAATGTGAAATGCTGTTAGCTTAGCGCTAATGTCCTACTAGAATCCCATAGGGGTGCTAGCAGGAATTAGCATTATTGTAGACATCCACATCTTTTTTGCACTTTTTGATTTCTTTTAAAGTTGAAAGGTTTATCATAAGTTTGATTTTTGAATAAATAAAATGCTGAGAGATATTTTCATGTCACTGCCGAAACACGGATTTTAGTCTGTAGGCGGAGCCTAATTTTAGAGCAGGAAGTGAGGCTGCATCCCTGTCCCTCATGGCCACATGGTGAGCAGTTAGATCCCATTGTTTTGAAGTAAATGAGTCCCAAAGTCTGAAAATCAGTGTGGAACATTAAGAATCGTCATATTTTCTGCAGTTCAGCACTTTTTAGTGTTTTAATGTAAAATATGACGATTTTCTGTGTGAACAGCTGTTCAAAGCTGTGTTTGCTGGTCTGTACTGCTTAGTTTTTGGGTAGAGTTATGACTGTTTTGGTAATGACAAAATTGCATGTGCAGTCATTTGTTTTAATAAAATGAACATAATAAAGTTTAGAGTCACTCAGAGCAAAAGGATTTCAGTCTAAACTCCAAGATCAGTTAAAAGTCTGAAATGCGTTTTCAGCTCTGACTTTGACCCAGTTCAGGGGATCATCTATGAGTGTGTGTGTGTGTGTGTGTGTGTGTGTGTGTGTGTGACTCACGCGCTCTCTCTCAGCGCCTCCTCTCCCGCTGCTGCGATCTTCCTGTAGCAGTAAACCATCTCCACCAGCAGCCACAGCTGCAGCCCAATGATCGACACGTACATCATCACCTCCGACAGGATCGACGCCATGCCACGGGTCGCTACGGAAACAGAGAGGGGGCGAAATAAAAGACATTTAGAATAAATAAAAGCACATATTCTACAATTCATGAGTGTTATGTAACAAAATACTAGCTAAAATGTGTGCTGCATACATGTTTCCCTGTAGGTCTACCAGGCCTGAATCTCTCAATCACAGTTCAGACAAATGCATCGTGCTTTTCTACCAACTGTGTCTTACAGAGAAGTACCTAATCTGACTATTTATCAATTTTACAAAAAAGATGTAGAGCGCTGTATGTCTGAATGGCCAACACAGATGTTGTATGAGTGAATAAGGTCAGGTATGTATTTATTTATTTATAATTATCATTATAAACCATGCATATTCATAACCTTCATACAAAATTCCTACAAGCACTTTAAATTGGCCTGGCTGGATTAGTGCAATGTCATTACTCAACCACAAGGTGTCTGTGTTTACCTATGAACACACAGCTCAGTTCTGTACGTATCTTTGCGGTGTCATTTTCTGAGCACGCTGTATTTCTAGTATTGTTTGCAGGATAAAAACTAATTTAGAGCTTGTAAACAACAACAACAACCACCAGTATACACCAGGCCCAAGTACAACACAGGTCCAAAGGTCTGTAGACTCCAGAGTTTTTTCTGGATTTGGTTGTGTTTAGCTATAAGAGCATTAGAACTGATGTTGGATGGTCAGTTCTGGATCATTTCAAGATCCCAAAGGTATTAGATGGAGCTTCACCACTCCAACTCATCCCAAAGGTATTAGATGGAGCTTCACCACTCCAACTCATCCCAAAGGTGCTCAGTAGAGCTTCATCACTCCAACTCATCCCAGAGGTGCCCAATGGAGCTTCATCACTCCAACTCATCCCAAAAGTGCTCAATGAAGCATCATTACTCCAACTCATCCCAAAGGTGCTCAGTAGAGCTTCATCACTCCAACTCATCCCAGAGGTGCCCAATGGAGCTTCATCACTCCAACTCATCCCAAAGGTGCTCAGTAGAGCTTCATCACTCCAACTCATCCCAAAGGTGCTCAATGGAGCTTCATCACTCCAACTCATCCCAAAGGTGCTCAGTAGAGCTTCATCACTCCAACTCATCCCAAAGGTGCTCAGTAGAGCTTCATCACTCCAACTCATCCCAAAGGTGCTCAATGGAGCTTCATCACTCCAACTCATCCCAAAGGTGCTCAATGGAGCTTCATCACTCCAACTCATCCCAAAGGTGCTCAGTAGAGCTTCATCACTCCAACGTATCCCAAAAGTATTAGGTGGAGTTTCATCACTCCAGAGATCACAGTTCCACTGCTCCACAGCCCAATGCTGGGGGGCTTTATATCCCTATAGCCCACGCTTGGCACTGGGCATGGTGACTGTACATTCATGTGCAGCTTCTCCAGAGCATCCTATTCTATTGGTCAGTCCTTTTCTATGGAGATCATACAAGGTGTCAGCAATGGGTGACCTTAAAGTAGCTGAATCATGACGTTCTGTATTAGTTATATAAGAGAGGAGGTGAGTGCACTGTCAGTGGTTTTGGTCAGCAGTAATACTCTGACCCCATGCCTGACTCAGCGTCCTTCAGGATCTGCAGACTGGTCAGTTTTGCTGCTCTTCCAAACCACCAATATGCTAAATGGTGGGGTACAAGCTTCCATTAGTTGATAGCTACATTAGCCTCCACTGCCAAAACTAAAGAAGCAAGCTTCAGACACCAAGTACGTCTTGGCTGATCGACTATGCTTACGTTAAAGGGGGGGGCGAGCACTGAACTATCGCTTTAATGTAGAACAAAACTGCTGTCTCACTGTGTGTTGAAATAACTGCCTGTCAGGAAACCCAGCAGGAGAAACGGCAGCGATTGAGGGGTTTATTACCTGTTGACAGACAGGCAGGTGTGCGTGAGTCAATGCGACAAAGGCCTGGAGCCGTTGCCTTGGAAACCCTGTTTACTTTAACACAAAGAAGACGCTTCCTGTGTCCTCGCTTTTGACATCCAGTCAGGACGTTCTGTTCAAGGCAACGGCGCATCGTTCTAAGTGTGCGCAGACTTTCTCTCTGCTCACGCGCCGTCCGTTCTGTGTTCGTCACGACCTTCCTAACGAGCTAAAGATAAGACTGTTCACATCACAGAAGCAGATCCTATCTTAATTTAATAATTACAGTGTTGTGCAAAAGTCAGAGACCCCTTCTTTTACTTAACTTCTAGCCAAAAAGTTCAAGTGTTCAGTGAGTCACTCTTTCCCTTCATTCCAGCTTCCATTCTTTTCAGGAGACTCACTTTCAGTTCCTCAAAGAATCTGCAGACACACCTCCAAAGTTCAGTCTTAGAAGCTGGTTTAGCATTTAACTCATTCAGTGGTGTTGAGGTCTGGACTCTGGGGTGGTCAGTCCATCATTCAGCTTCTTTGTTTGATGTGTCCGTCTCCTTTTCTCAGTGAGGTTCTTCTTGATCAGCTACACATCCTTTCAGACCCACAGCGCTGAGTCATCTTCTCACAGTGGAAGCATGGACAGAAACACCTGTGGATGTTTTCAGATCTGAAGCAGCTTGATTTTCTCCTCTCTCTTAAAGATACTGTTTATCTGATGGGGGCAGTTTTGGTGGTGTCATTTGATGGTGATGGTGTCGATGGTGTCATTTTCTCTGTAGCTTTTAATCAATTTTTGAACTCCAGTTTTTTTCACTTTGACTTTCTCTTTCCTGCTGTTAAACTCCTCACAAACATCCTGGTGGTCCTGACTTTTGCACAGTAGAGGATGCATCACATTTAACATCTTAGCTTGTCTCAAGTTAGGAAATCCTAAACTACTCAGTCGAAGCTGATCATCAATTGTCACGTCTGTTACCATGCAAATGATTCTACGTGATATACACGAAGTTTGACTAATATTTTTACAAATAGACTTAAATTTACAAATACACTTTCAACATTTTTTACAATGTTTATACACAAGACGTAACATATTTACAAGGCTGTGGAACACCAACAATAAAATAATACAGTAAGCAATTTTGGGGATTTTAACATTTGAGAATAATAATATGTTTGGGCCAAAGAATTAGCATATCGCTGCTACATTGTATCTCCATTTTTGTTGTTTTTTAGATTTTGACATAATTTGAAAATGCCTGTTGTTCTTCACATTGTGTGTAAATCTCATGATGAACGAACCTAAAGAAACGGCCCAAAAGCAGTTGGAAAACAGTCTGGTTCCATTGACTTACATTAAAAGTAAAGTCTGTTTTTTCCTTCTCCTGTAAAGTTACCATTTTGGAGAAACAATGTTTTGTTCCAACAGCAGCAATATTTATTGTTATTATTAGTACACAAAATAATGGTGCCAGAAAAGGTTCTCTGCACAATGCCATGTTCCCTAAAGAACTTTTCACCTTCAGTGTAAGCATGAAGAACCTTTCTAAAGTTAAAGTATGAATATATGTTTTTGGTAAGAACCCTCAAAGGGGGCCTGTTATGCTTTTCCGTTTTTCTCTTTCCATTAGTGTGTTGTATCTGTTTGTGCATGTAAAGGTTCTGAGTACCAAAGCTCAGCGTTTCCTCCAGAGGGAGAAACTCTCTCCCACAGAACCCACTTTTCTCAGCTGCCTGAAACACCTTGTGGAATTCCAGCCCTTTTCCTTGTTACAGGATGACATCATCTCCTAACACAGTCCTTACTGCCCGCCTACCGGCGAGCTCGGCCCCCTCACACAGCGCACAGTGGCTACTGGAGGCGGAAGAGTGTGTTCGGTGCTGTAGTATGTGGAGACGACGCTAACCGGACTTTCAGGATTCACTCTGGATCAAACTGCCACGGCAGAACCGACACCGCTGGACAAACAGCCATAACATAGTTTACAGGGTCTGTCTGCAAACTGCAGGACAGGGGCGGAACATGGAGGGGCGGAACCACTCTGGAGGTCGACTGATCAGAACAGAGAGGGCAAGCTGACCAATCAGAGCACTCTGGGCTCATCAGGAGGCGGGGCTTAAAGACAGAGGAGCTCTAATAGAGCATTTCAGACAGAGGGTCAATAGAGATGTACAGTATGTGTTTTTTGGACACTCAAGCTGTAAGTCTATTCTAGTAGACCAGAATTAAAATTATAAATATTAAATATAAGCATAATAAGTCCAAATTTAATTTGGCACAAAACCTTTTACATCATGTGAACCTTCTTTAGGTCTTTGAAAGGTTCTTCACACTCATAAACCTCTTTTTTTGAAACATGGTTCTTTAGGGAACCAAAAGGGGACCTTTATTTCTAAAACTGTAGTAGTAATATTAGTGTTATTGGTTTTCACTATTATTATTGATTATAGTCTTCAGATTGATGTACTGTCACTCCTGTAGTGTGATCCACTCACCCTTGGGCACCACGTTCATGGAAATGTATTTGGTGGTGTTGGTGCGGAACTCGTAGTAGTCGTAGGTGAGCGTGCGGTCGAAGTAGCAGCGGTAGGTGCCCGTGTCGTTGAAGGTGACGTTGAGGATGTAGATGGATCCGTCCTGCAGGTCCTGTGTCTTCTTACTGCCATTCCAGTCCAGACGGTCAGTAAAACGGTCATCCGTCACCGTGCCCAACATGTCCGCATAACTGTAAATCTACAACACATGAGGACATGAAACACAGAGGCGTCAAACTTGAAGTGAGAAAAAAATCAAACTTACACATTAAAGTGGTAAAAAGTGTGAATATGTCAGAAACCACATCTATTAAAGCAATAAGCCACGAGAGGCTGTGATTTTATCACGGGAAGGGTTTAAACTCCCCTCCCTGTGATAGAATCCTACTTGAGGCTGGATCTCAAACGGCTCCCTGCTCCCTACATAGTGCACTACGTAGGAATTTAAATACTGGACACTGCAGCCCAATCAGGAGCCATTTGGCAAATCAAACTGTAAGTACTTTAATTTAACCCTGCGATGTTAATGAAGGAGCTGTTTAGGCTGTTGGCTCTTTTATCCTGTTAGCTAGCTGAACAGCCTGGTTCTAGTTAAGAAAATAAGTTGTCAGCCCCTCAGTTTAAACAAGAAAACATGTTCTTACTTCACCCGTACACTCTGAGCTTCATGCCAGCAGCATTAGGGTCAAAGATTATTCCGTTAACAGCACAAGGGTTTTGTTATGCACAATTCAGTGGTTGTGAGACGGTCATAGTTGTGTGAATATTGTGGATTTTACAATGGCTTTAACTGCAGCTCAGCCAGTCAGATTTTAGGACCAGAACTATCCATTATACAATATAAGTTACTAAACTTTGAGGCAAAAGTGGGATGATTTAGGCAAGCTAAATTGCACCATGCTAATTGGTGAGGTATAAGCTTCCATTACTTCTTAGCTACATTAGCCTCGTGGCTCCAATGCTCAAACTAAAGAAGCAAACTACGTTTTGGGATAAGTGGGGGAAAAATGGGTAAATTAGATTTTTTGCTTTAAAATCCTATTATATACTCCTTAATGTGTCCTGGACATTTAATCAACGTTCCTAATTAATCAAGAAGTCGTTTACATCCCAGACTGACCGCAGCAGAGGACAGGTTTAATGGTCAGTGGTGCTTTATTAAAGGTCAGTGTTGTGCCCTCTAACTAAAAAAAGGCTTCTCAATTGCCCTCTGAAGTCGTCTCGTCATTTTGTAGTCAGCTTTGGGACGTCTAAGCCATTTTCTCTATAGAAAAAATGAACTTTGGTAAATAAAAGTGTTCCAAAACAGATCATTGTGTCTTACAGTATTTCCCATAAATAATACTGGGTCCTGAGGCCATTGGTCAAAATGCTAACATTGCTTCAAACAGGCTAGTGGATCATTCTCAGCACTGCAATAACTGACGTGGTGGTGGTGTGTTAGTGTGTGTTGCGCTGGTCTGAGTGGATCAGACACAGCAGTGCTGCTGGAGTTTTTAAACACCTCAGTGTCGCTGCTGGACTGAGAATAGTCCACCAACCAAAAATATCCAGCCAACAGCGTCCTGTGGGCAGCGTCCTGTGACCACTGATGAAGGACTAGAGGATGACCAACACAAACTGTGCAGCAGCAGATGAGCTATCGTCTCTGACTTTACATCTACAAGGTGGACCGACAAGGTAGGAGTGTCTAATAGAGTGGACGGTGAGTGGACACAGTGTTTGAAAACTCCAGCAGCTCTGCTGTGTCTGATCCACTCAGACCAGCACAACACACACTAACACACCACCACCACGTCAGTGTTACTGCAGTGCTGAGAATGATCCACCACCCAAATAGTACCTGCTCTGTGAGGGTCCATGGGGGTCCTGACCACTGAAGAACAGGGTAAAAGGGGGCTAACAAAGTATCAGAGAAACAGATGGACTACAGTCTGTAACTGTAGAACTACAAAGTGCACCTATATAGTAAGTGGAGCTGATAAAATGGACAATGAGCGTAGAAACAAGGAGGTGGTCAGAATGTTATTGGTGTATATACCAACACCAGCTACTCAAACTGTAGGGTAAAACTGCCAAAGCCTCTAAAATACCACACTGGACGAGGCTAACTGGTCTGTGTGGGCTATTTTAGTGAGGTTTCCAGTCCCTGTGATGTCAATTCAATGTATAGGAGTGTTAGCCTGCGTGTAGCATGTAATATTCCTTCCTACTAATTGGGGAGATCCATTGATATGGTGAGGAAAACGTTTATAGGACAAAAACAGCTTTGGAACAGTTTTGTCTAAAGTGATGTTGGTTCATTTTCTCCCGTCAGAGAAGAACGGCTAACGCACAGGACACTCAGGGTGCTAAAGGAGAAGTACAAAATGACAGCACATCCTCAGAGGTCCATAAAATATTTAAAGACAATATTGCTTCACGATTTTCAGATGCTGATCTGCTGTTAGAGCTAAGAGCAGACAGCCCGACTTCTGCTGATGGAGCTCTTCTTAAGCAATAGCAGGACTGCTTAGCGCAGCATTTACTGCAGCAGTGCATGAAAAAGGCTTTACATCAAAACTACTAACGTGGCTAACAATGAACGAAAGACTGGATTTAGGTAGGAGACAGTTAGCTTTATGCTGAAGTTATCATGCTAGCTTTAATCTCATCGTTAGCCACGTTACCCTTACGGAAAGCTGATCCTCGTATTTCAAATATGTGACATATCAGCATGTAAGGATTTCCATTAAATCCAACTTACATTATGTGACATATATGCAAACTTGTATATGCAAAATTATTTTATATATATATATATATATATATATATATATATATATATATTAAATAATGTATGTGCCTATATACAAACAAATATATGACAGAAAGCATTATTCATATGGATGGCATATATTACTTATATACACTAGCTTCTTGTTATATATGTAATATGTGTTATAAATGCTTGTTTTTATGCATCTTCTTTGTTCATTCCACAAACTTCCTAATGAGGTGTATATTAATATAACAGCTACATAACTAAACTCTAAATACATGCACAGTGCAAGCTATGCAATAAAATAATTAAAGACATACATAAAAATATTGTTGCCTGGTACATGAATATGATTAATATGTTAATATAATTAATATATACGTGTTCATCCACCTATCAGGCTTATAGATATGATTGATGTATTATACATATATGTCCAATATTTGTACACAACTTACATGGCCACATATATCATGAAGGGTCAGGCACATATTTTAAAATATATGTCCATATATCAGATGTCTGTATAAAGTATTTCAAGCATTTAAAGCTATAATGCTGTGGATAGTTAATCAGCCAAGACGTGTTTGGTGTGTTAAGTTTGCTTCTTTTTTCCAAATAAAACCATTTTAGATTCAAACCTTTTTCGTAGAATAACAATGGTGTATTATTCCATATATATAAGTCCCTTCACTGTTAATAAGAGGCATATTTAACAACTCAAGTAAATCTAAAAATATTTTTATTGGGTGAAATAACCAAAACAGAATGATCACTATATAGACAGATGTCAGTACTGCTTTCTAACACTGAGTGTGTTTACATACATTCAGTAGTCTGATCATAACTGGATTTCTGCGGTTACCTGATTATTCAAATGGTCATGTAAACAGCAAACTCTGATTTCTTAGATCGGAGTAAGGTCTGGAAATCCGATTAAGAGGTCTGATAAAGAGAGCTGGATTTTAGCTCAGTAAACAGCTATAAACACATAAAATCATCATATTCTTCATTAGAGCACAAAATATTTTACTTTTTTTACTTATTTGACTTGCATGAAATGTTTTGGTAGTGCCAGTTCTTAATGTTCCACTCTGATTTTCAGGCTTTGGGACTCATTTACTTCCAAACAATGGGATCTAACTGCTCACCATGTGGCCAAGAGGGACAGGGATGCAGCCTCACTTCCTGCTCTAAATTGCAGGGGCGTGGCTAAAATAAGATTCCGCCTACATACAATACTCTGTGTTTCTGCAGTTATCTGATTATTCAAATGGTCATGTAAACAACACACTCTGATTTATTAGATCGGAGTAAGGTCGAGAAATCTGATGAACAAATCCAATAAAGACGTTGGATTTTAGCTCAGTAATCAGATTTCTCAGTGCTGTAAACTCTTACTCTGATTTCTTTCGGATTTCTCAGTCTGATCATGTGTGAAAACAGACTGCGATACCAGAAATAAATGAGCAGCGTCGCCGCGAGACGCAGCAAAACACTTTCTGGAGTGACGCTGGAACCAAATACATGCTTGATGAAGTGAAGGGTTTAAATATTCTTCCTCTTCTAGATGATGTTTGTTCATATTTTCAGGTAAAGCGTCGCAATGTTTAAAAAACGCCGCATCATGCAGTTTGAGTTTTACATTACATTTATGTCTCTTCTTCTGTGAGTTTATTGGCTGGTTGTAAAGCAGAAATCTGATCACTGTCTGACCCATGTAGACCTGGAGTTTCTCATTATCTGATTACTCAAGTGCATGTAAACGTGTTGACTGGATTACCAGCAAAATCTGATTATTAAGTGGCTGATCGGCTGCATTTGAACTAAAGTAGAAATGATATAAATTTGAATTAAAATGTCATTTTAAGGCCCTTGGCTGGGCCACTGTTTATCCTTGGAGCTAACAGAGCCTGATAAATGCGTTTACTAGCAGATTCAGTGAATATGTTACTGTTTATTACAATATAACCTCCTTGTTAGGCTTTTAGAAGCCCTCCTTCATTGCCATTCATGGAGCGCAGTGAAGTCTCTGTAAGGCTGAGGAGACCACAGCTGACGTCCAGGAGAAACGACTTCCATGAAAAATGCATGACGACCAGCCTTTTTCTCTCTCTCATTATAAATGCACTGCAGTCGTTTCTCTGCAAAAATCTGCTTCAGTGCTTTTTGGGTGTATCTCTACTCGTACTTGAGCTTATTCACCATTTTTACAGCATATGCTTTTCGGGCACAATGCAGAGTGAATATAGATAAATGTACTATATGCATACTGTATATAGGTTCTGCCAAACTGGCTCAAAGTCAGAGCTGAAACACATTTTACGTTTAACTGATCTTGGCCTTTAGACTCAAAACCTCTTGCTTTGAGTGACCCTATCGCTTAATTATGTTTATTTTGTTAAATCAAATGATGGAACGTTCCATTTTGTCACTACCAAAACAATCATAACTCTACCTTTACCTCAAACTTCACCAGATGTTTCAGTAGTGACTGTTTCAATGACAATTTTAGCTCATTTTGAGCTCAAAAACCCGTTTTCGCCAGTTCATGACCAGCAAACACAGCTCTGAACAGCTGTTCACACAGAAAATCATCATATTAAAACATATTAAAACACAAAATATTTTACTTACTTGCACGAAATGTTTCATTAGTGACAATTCTTAATGTTCCACACTGATTTTCAGGCTTTGGGACACATTTACTCCAAAACAATGGGATCTAACTGCTCACCATGTGGCCATGAGGGACAGGGATGCAGCCTCACTTCCTGCTCCAAAATACAGGGGCGTGGCTAACATAAGGCTCCACCTACTGTCTAAAACTCTGTGTTTTGGTAGTGATATGAAAACACAGGACAGCATTTTTTTTATTTAAAAATTAAACTCATGGTAAATCTAAATCGTTCAACTCCACTTTTAAAGAAATCAAAAAAAAATTCAAAAAATGAAAAAAAGTATATAATTTTTCACAAGTGGGTTTGGGACAGACACCTCCCAATAGAAATAAATGATTATTTTGTATATGTTTAGCTTATTACTCTCTCTATTAATGCCATTAGTTTAGATAGATCAGAACATAATCCTCGTAGATATCTAAGGTCTGAACCCTTCTTTGCTTTTTTAAATAGTTGTTTTTTTACTGTGGGACCACAGCTTGAACTGAATCGATAGAAAGTTCCGAGTTATTTTTTTACAAAAACTGTAAAATTCTATTAGCCCTCCTAAATCCCTTATGGTGCATAATCCAATAAATCTTTTCATTTTTTAACTATTCGTACCTCATTTAAAAAATGGGAAGAAATGTGGAAAATACATATTCTAATCTTTAAATACTTACAATTTGAGTAGGTATGTAGGAGATATTTTATTATGATTTGTATTTGTACAGTTCTAAGTTTATCTCCTGCTAAATCATAGGTTTATTCTATCCACACCTAGACACTTTATTTCAGTACCGATATATGCACATATTTATTCAGTATTGTCATTATATGCTGTTATTGCACTGCCTTTTTCATCTCAGGTTATAGATCTTATTGAGATTTTTGTATATTTCTAGTTGTATATATGTCTGTAGATAGGTTTTTTCTATTTCTTCTTCTTTTTATATTGTTTCACCCTTATTATTATTACTGTCCTGTGTTGTGTGACGGATACTGGCTGCTAAATTTCCTTCAGGATCAATAAAGTATTGTGACCGGAAGGTCGCCGGTTTGATTCCCTCAGCTGACAATATGTGACTGAAGTGCCCTTGAGCAAGGCACCTAACCCCCAACTGCTCCCCGGGCGCCGTGGATAGGGCTGCCCACCGCTCCGGGCAAGTGTGCTCACTGTCCCCCAGTGTGTGTGTTCACTAGTGTGCATGTATGTGGGTGTTTCACTGCACGGATGGGTTAAATGCGGAGGTCTAATTCCTCTGTGTGCAAACACAGTAGGCTAATGGTTCTGAATTCTGAATTCTACCTATCTATCACCATTAATAGTTCACTGAAATCCTAGACTTAATCTGTGTTTAAAACACTGGACTCACGTGGGTGAAATCGCTCTCTCCTTTAGCCATGAACCACCAGTCCACTGTAGCTGAAGCCTCCACTTCTCCTCTCATCTTACAGGAGATGCAGCCCAGTTTAAATCCCTTGCCGGCGACCGCCTCGGTGTCCGAATCCACCTCCACACACGCGCCATCGCTGAGCAGGGCTGCGGGGACGACATGACACACACAGTCAGTCACTCAGCACATGCATTATCTCTAACTACAGAGCTCTAAGCCTATATTAACATATTGCTGATGCCCATTCATTATTTCTACTGTCTCTGTTATTTTGGAGCTTGCAGGCATTATTGTGATTACAGCCAGCTGGAGGTTAGCTTTATTTTTATTTTTTTTTTCTTAGTTTGTCGTGCGTGCTTCTGCCACTCGGAAAAGTGCATGCTGGCTTTTCTTTCTTTGTGTCTAAGGCAGAGCATTTGTGTTGCGTAGTTTATTTCCACTCATAAAATCAACTAATATGGCCATAAACTAGTCCAAATTGCCTGCGTATTGGCAGATTACTTTGCCAGGGGCCGGGCTGTGCAGGCAATGGTCACTTACCTCCTTCCTTACAGTCTGGACTCAATAATGTTCAACCATTTACTCACCAAAGCTTTTAATTCTTGATTTTTCTATTCAAATGTTTATTTACAGACCTGTAAATATTGGTAATCCTATGGTATGCGGTAGGCTGCAGACATTTCCAGGCTCCGCCCACCAATGTGTTCTTTCATAGCTACTGTTGCTAGGCTGGAAAAGCTTTACAGACCGCTTTTAAAAATCCCATTCAACCCCATTCAATTTATATCACAATGCCTACATTTAGAGTCGGTTATTCATTCAGCCTAATGAGAAACTGTAGAACAGACTCAGTTTATATCACAATACCTACATTTAGAGTCAGTTATTCATTCAGCCTAATGAGAAACTGTAGAACAGACTCAGTTTATATCACAATACCTACATTTAAAGCCAGTTAGAGTGGGTGTTAAAATCTCACATAATTCATAATTCAATTCAATATTATACAGTGGTGTCTGGATGCATTTTTGGAACACAAAAAAAAATGAAATTTGTACATCATTTTAACACCTTTAAAAATTATTTACATTTATAATAACTGATAATATTGCTTTTTTTGAGTATGTAATGTTTTGTTAGAATACTAAAATGAAACATGCTAACCATGATCCCTAGCTTCAAGCTAACTGTGAAAAAATGCATTAGCCGCGAGCTAACAAATCACAAGCTGATGCTGTAACCACAAGCTAATGTGGTAACTGCAAGCTAACGCACTGGCCCCAAGCCAGAGCTGGTTTATAAGGAGTGGCCACTGGCCACTTCCTATTTCCCTTATTATATCAAAAACAGGACTGCAAACAGCAGAGGGCGCCCACGAGCAAGTCCTCAATGAATGGGGGTAAGTGGAGCTAAACGGCTAAAAACGAAGAGTTAAAATAGTTTCTAATCACTGAACCAGAACTTTCCTTTAGTTTTAGACAGTAGAAGGATGGATTTCACTAAAAAAGCAAAGAAAACTCACCTGTATGTTTCCTTTTTCTACAGTAAACAGGTTTTGGGCAGCAGGATGCTAACATTACTGCTACTGAGTGCCGATTGGTTGGCGAGCGGAGCAGCTCATTGGCTGTCCACGCTCACTGACGTCATGTCTTAAACTCCTATAACTCGAGTTTTAAAGCTTCTAAGAATATAACAGCAGTGTTAAAATGTTTTATGCTGTTCTGTGTTCAGGAAATGAATGAATTCTTTTACATTAAAATGTTTAAGAATTCATAAACTATGATTTTGATCAAATGCTCCATCTTAACCCATTCATTTGGACTCGCTTGAGAGCGCCCGCTAGCGTCTGAGAAACCCAGAAGACTGCATAGATTATTGGAAACTTTCTGTATAGCCTACCAATCAGATGTTAATCCCTCATTAATTTCTCATTAGGTTGAAAGAGACTTTAATAGCGTTCTGTAAAGCTTGTCCATTATTACAACAGTAGAACACATTTGGAGAGGTCATCTGGATCCGACTTAATCTGAAAGACTCCAGACTGTGAGGCCTCTGCTACAGCCAGGACCCAGGCAAAACTTTCTAGGATAAACCATCATCCAGGGGATTTTGAGGGGAAATAAAACGTTAGCAGTGAGAGATGCTGGTCCACATCCTTCTGCAGCCCACCCTCTATGTTACGGAGCTACTATCATATATAGATGCAGGGTCTATATATGCCATCAAGGTTGCATACACCGGCCGAGAGGAACACACCTGCACCTCCAAGTGTCTCCCTCTCTTTCTTTCTGCATCAACCAATCGTTCCGTGTGCTATTTTAGACCTCTGACCCCTGGAGGGACGTTTCATTGCCGCTTAATGGCGGGTTGAGGGACAGAGCACATATAGCACAGAACATCAACGAGTGAGAATGTTTAGCAGAAGCGCTGTTACGGCAACTGCTGCTGGTACATTAGCGGTACCATCTGTAGCGCCGTGAATTAATCTCTGATTTTTGGTTTAAAGCAACATTTCAGTAAAAAACTGAACGGCTTCCCCCTCTAACCCCAAATTTTATTCGTTCAGCTAAGACATGCTGGGTTTCTCAAGTTTGCTTCTTCAGTTTTAGCTCTGCAGCTACAAGGCTAATGTAGCTAATATGTAATGGAAGCTTATTAGCTTTGCTGCATGGCAAAATCACCACACATTTGCCTCAAACCATAAAATAGCCTTACACTCCTTGACCATCACTGTAATACCCACTTCTGATGTGTCTTGAATGTGGGAGGACTTTTTGAAAAACTACAACTGTTTTGGGATGGATTTTTGTTATCAGGCTGATTTGAAATGTTTATTTTGTTCGTTAGCTGGCTAATTCAATATGAAGAGTGCTAATGCTACTAATAGAAAGCTGAATATCTTTGCTGCAGCTATAAAACTGCATTAACTGTCTTCAAAATCATCATTACAGTGGCGAGAATGGGTCACTCAAACCACAGAAATGACCTGATGAAAAGGACAGCAGGCTAAAAGCTAAGAGCTACAGTCAGAAAGTGGCTACTTGGCTATCTGGACATCTCAGTGTGGCTTATTTTCTTTGACTTAAAGGGTAAAAACTCATCTCTGGTGTCTCTTTTAGGTGCTAAATAAAGAGAAAATCTCTGTTTTGTTGTTTGACTTGTTAGACTAATTACACTACTTACAGTAGCCTGTTTGTTTTTGTTAGCCTAAAGCTCAGTAGCTAGGCTAGCAGTCAGGATTATCCTCACCACAGGGATTCTATATGACATATTTGCACAGTGCATGCTGGGTATTGTAGTGAAAGAATGCTGAGGAAGGAAAATATGAATATAAAACTGATCTCTGAGGCTTACAGATATAATGCTGCACTGCATAACACAACAAATTAAACACTAGTTTTAGGCACTTTTAGCAACTCAGCACCTTGATTTGAGGCAAATGTAAAGGATTTAAGTATGCAGTTAAGTTAATTAGTTTATATAGGTTTCTGTTGCTTGTTAGCTACATCGGCCTTGTAGCTCCAGTGCTAAAACTGAAAAAGCAAATTTCAGATGCGAAGCATGTCTTGGCTAATCGGCAATATTTGGGCTATGGGGGAGATTTTCTCTGAGCTATCGCTTTAAAGTTTTAGCATCTCTATATTGCCTCTACTCTGGGGGAGGTTCAGGGAGGAGCAGTGCAGCGGATCTTGATGGCTGACAGCAGGAAGAAAAAGAGAGAAATGAAGAGAAACGGGGGCACACTTGCCACATCAATACGGGAGGCAGGGGGGAGGAAGAAAAGCAGGAGAAGGAAAGAGAAGAAAAGAGGAGAGAAAAGGAAAGAAGAAAAGAGAATGAGTTAAACTTCAGTTACAGCCACCAAACTGAGCATGGGGGAAAATCCCAGGCTTTTGAAGGGGAATTCCACTGATTTTTCAAAATTTCAGTATAACTGAGTGAGTGGGACATAAACAGAGAGATTCAGAGTGGTTTGGTGTGAAATGGTTCAGATGTCTTTACAGTGGTGGTGATAGGAACCAGGGGTCGCCATGACTACAACACAAATATAGACATTTTATTTACTATCCAGAACCACCAGTGAACCTACACGAGTCTTCTGAGTCTATAAGGAATGTTGATGATGGGGAAAATAGTGATAAATGGTAAAAAATAAGTTTTGTCCACTGGGATTTTTTTTTTAAAGTATGTTTTAGGCCCAAATCTTCAAAAAACTATTGTTAAACAATCCCGCCTGCAAATATGATGGGTAGATTTGCACCAGACACAAACCTGACACAGCATGAAAGCTGCACATTGACTTTAATTTAACTACAACTAAATCAGCTATTATTCTAATTCATACTGACAGTCAGTTAAACCTGCTTGTGTGGATTCATTCAGGACACAGCGGGAGATACAATGCGTCTGAATTAAGAAATTAATGGAAAAAAGTGGAAACAAATACAACGAAAACACAGAATTAACTGTTCGGCAACACTTCACTCACAAGTACTTCACTCGTGTTCAGCAGGAACAATAACACTGTCACAATAAAAGTCCTGTATAATTCTGCAAAATACTACTCTTGGAAGTTTACTTGATTTAATTGAACACTTAAATATTCATGAATAATTATTAGCAGCAGTAGTACACTCTCAAAAAAGATGGTTCTTCAAGGGTTCTTTAGTAAAGAAAATGGTTCTACATAAAACCATGAACACTCAAAGAACCCTATTGCATGATTAAAAGGTTCTTTGCAACATGAAAACTTCACAAAGAAAGTGTTGTGGATAGTTCTATGTAGAACGTTTTTGAAAAGGGTGCTATATAGCACCAAAAAGGGCTCTTTTATTGTAACAAGCTTGATATCGAAAAAGCAGGAGAACACTTTTGGTTGGCCATTTTTGAAAAGGTTCTATATAGAACCATCTATAGCACATTCTCCATCAGTCTGACGAACCATTTCAACATGCAAAGAACCCTTTCATCATGCAAAAGTGGTGAATGTTCAAGGTTCTCTATGGAACCATTTTCTTTACTAAAGAACCCTTGAAGAACCATCCTTTTTAAGTATGTAGTAATATGACAGTATATGTTATTTAGTTAAATCTATATATGGAAAAAACAATATGGGACACTTTTGTTTTGCATTCTTTCAACTGGC